AAGGACGGTTATATGATGCTAGAATACTCAAATGTATGAAAGTCTTGTGAACTACTTAAGTATAACTTGCGAACTATAAACCCATAATAATTTTGATGACTGCTTTATTCTCGTAGGATGACCTCCGATATAAGAAGGTAAAACTATTATGGTGGCTTGTCAATCATCACAATAATGAGAAGAAACCCATTGTGATGTATATGTTATCAGGATCCCATAAGACAAGAAGAGAAGATAAAAGGGCTACTCAAGCTAATTGTGAAATTACATTTTGTAAATGTACCAAAGCTGTACTTACTTGATTACACATAGTGATAACGTTTTTAGAGTCTATAATTTTAGATGTTGTACTTTGTAAATGCTAATTTCAACAGTGATTACTATTTTTAATGTTTATGTCATAGTATTTATTCATTGAAATTTTTGCAAATGAACAATTATCATTAACAATTAGGAAAGGGGGAATGACAATTGGGAAAGGGAGATTGACAAGTTGTGTAGGGGGAATGACAATCAGGTAAGGGACATTCACAACTTATCATGTTCTAAGTGTGACAAGGACCTTGGCAAATGAACAATTATCATTAACAACTGGGCAAAGGGGAATAACAACTGGGAAAGGGGGATTGACAAGTTGGGTAGGGGGAATCACAAATAGGTGAGGGGCATTCACAACTTACCATGTTCCAAGTGTGACAAAGACCTTGGCAAATGAACAATTATCGTTAACAATTGGGCAAGAGGGAATGAGAAAAAAGGGATTGACAAGTTAGGTAGGGGGAATTGCAGTTGAGTGAAGGGAATTCACAACATACCAAATTTTAGGTATGATAAAGACCTTAGCAAATGAAAAATTATCGTTAACAATTGAGAAAGGGGGATTGACTAGTTAGGTAGGGAGAATCGCAATTGGGTGAGGGGCATTCACAACTTACTATATTCCAGGTGTAACAAGGACCTTGGCAAATAAACAATTATCGTTTATGATTAACTAAAGGGGAATGACAACTAGGAAAGGGGGATTGACAAGTTAGGTAGGGTGAATCACAACTGGGTAAGGGGTATTCACAACTTACCATATTTTAAGTGTCAAAAAGACTTAAGCAAATGCATAATTATTGTTTACAACTGGCCAAGGGGAAATGACAACTGGGAAAGGGGGATTGACAAGTCATGTAGGGAAAATGACAACTTCCTATTCATTCGTTGTTAACAGGACTTACATCAGTATTTATAACTTCAACATGTACAACAGTTGTAAAAGCATCATCATCCATACATTTACATAATATTGACAATCCATTCCAAAAATAAGTAAATGGACTGCACAGATATACTGTACCTTCAAATGCATTAAAAAAATACAATATGCAGTCACAAAAAAATATCAACTACATAATTAAAAACATTGCATCTTCCTAGCATTAATCAGTATGGATTAGGGTTCTTGTAGGTCTTGAAAGTATGACCAACCTTATGACATCTTCCACAATAATGAAGCTTCTTCTTTTGAAACTGATATTCATGTCTTTTCATCTTAGGCCTTCTCAAAGGCCTTCTCAAAGGCCTTCTAGTCTTCAATAGCTCTAAGAATGTTTAGGTTAACATACTTGTCACTGTCAATGCACCTGGACATAGAATATCATGTGTGGACATAGGCCTTATGCTACAAGTATAAATTTTCTGCTGTGATATCAACTTATAGCATTCATCCACAGATGTGTACACATTTTCATGAACTAGCTTTATTGCTGTATAAGGTATTCCACTCATTTACCATGCCAAACAAGTGCATTCATGTTTTGCAATATCTACATTCAAATAAATTATTCCATTAGGAGAAAAGGTTTGTACCAAGATTCAATTTTCTCTATAAAATTGTGCATGCAAATTTTCAACCCTCACAACTTGATCCATCAATTTTGCCTCTATATTAGGTTCTACCCCTTCTTTCTAATGAATCATAGCCATTTTAGATGCCAACATCTTGTTTGCCAATTTCTTCTGATGCTCTTGTATTAAAACATTAACATTGTGCTTGCTCTCCTTCACAATCCAAGCCTTAAATGATTCATCAAGATTTGTTATAATGTTATCCTATCATTTATCAGGAAACTTACATTATGCCTAGTAAAATTTTCCTTCACATGATGGTAGCAATATGCATGTCTCTTGCCACCAAAAATAGCTTGCACTGCCCCAACAATGGCATTATGCCTATCAAAAACTAATGTTAAACTAATCTTGTGATGTCTTTGACATTTTTAGGAAACCATGACCAATCTTCAAATGTTTCCACACTCATAATAACATATGCTAGTGAAAATAGGTCATTGTCCACATCATAAGCAGAAGCCGCTAACAATGATCCCTTGTATGGACTACTTAGACAGCATCTATCTATATAAAGTATGTATCAACAACCTTATAAAAAACATGAAATACAACATTCGTATACAATGAATAACCTCTCAAATCTGTTGCTATCAAAGGCATCTCATTTCATAACTCTCGTTGGATCAATTTTCCTTAATCTATCATAACTCTAAGGGATTATCATATAAGAATCTTATGAAAGATCATGTATATCTCGCAATGCTTTTCCTCTTCCCCTATATGCTTGACTATAGGTTAATCACACACCATACTCTTTATACAAGTCTCTTCTAATTTCATTAGTACTCTTGTCTATAGTAGACCTCATAGCATCAGCAATGATCAGTGAAGTTAAATCTGACCTTACTCGATGTGAAACAATAAACTTGTCCCATGCATTGTGGATGTGATCACTATTGAATCTTATTACCCTCAAAAACTCACTATGCCTTCTTATTGAATATGCTGTAATATTCCATGGATATCCCTTAACCTTGCACTTAATAATAACCTTTTTTGTATTGTTCTTCTTAAACTTATATGAAAACTTGTGCCCAATACTATACTTGTACAAAGTTTGTCTAAAGGCCGCTATATTGGTAAACATTTGGCCCTTATCTACAAACAAGTCCTTCTATTTCGCTGAGTTCATTTTAAGTATTGGTGTAGGCACTATTTGTATAGCACATTCTAATAGCAAGTTTTCAATCTCAAGACACAAACTAGGTAGAGATAAAGAGCCTTCCTCTGAACCTCTCAATAAATTATCAATCCTTTAGAAAATTACAATCAGAGCATATTAGTAATGCTACATTTTAATATTATCTATGTTAATAAAAACAATTAACACAACTTACACATGTTGATACTCATCTGGGTCATCCATTGATACTTGTACAATGTCATTTTCATTCATAACTTATATACATGTTCACTTTCTTCATTGTACTTAATTAAATGTTCTATTCCATCATTATCAAGAAAATCTATAAGTGTGCTTTTGTCAATACTAAGTGTGAACTTCATGTTACTTTGAATGTTTTTAAACCCCATAATTGCTCATAACATTCTTCTCAACTCTTCATAACTTGTCCCTTCCTTTATACTTCTTGGTTTTACACTCCCACTCACATATTGCATACTACATTGGTCATCATATGTAATTTTTTCTCCTATATGAAAAAAAACTAATAGATGTTTCCTAGAAGCACTAGCCATCTTTCATGTCAACTGCACCATACACAATATATTGACAACTACTCACAGCATATTGACAACTTAAACTTCAGCAATTAACAACACAAAAAAGATATTGTCAATCTATGCTGCACACAATATATTGACAATTACCCATGACATATTAACAACTTAAGCATCATCTATTAACAACATATACAAGGTATTCTCAACTTGCACAACACACAACATATTGACAATTACCCATAATATATTGACAACTTACGCTTCAGCTATTAATAACATATCTTACTATCTCATGATAGAATCATCAGCTCAACCAAGTAGTACTAAATTCTTGAATACACTATTACAAATGCAACCTCAATGACCACCCATGACAGACATATTGACCGAGAGAGAGAGAGAGAGAGAGAGAGAGACCACCCATAACTTATATACCTATCAAGAGAGAAAGAGACAACCCTATTCTACCAACAAATCATAAAACACTAGATTAAATGATTAATAGGGAGTATATGCAAATTAATCTCATCATTTACCTACTTCTATGAGGTTACACTATTAGATTATTTGAAGCCCAAAGCTGGGTGTAAAAATGTTCAAACGTGGACCCTCTTCCTTCACAAGCTCCTACATACCTTAAACTAAAGATGATCGCAAGAATGGGTTCATCTTCTAGCTATAAGATGATCCTTCTGTACACCATTTCAAGGACGATTATGAGATGCATCTTAGCTGCTCTTACCTCTATCACGTGCAAAAACCGATCTTCTTTCCTCTTTCTTTCTTTTCTTTCCTTTTAATCAGCCAAGGGCAAATGAATCTTTTTAGATTCAAAATTATTTACCCCTAAGGACCATGAAATTTTATAGTAATTTTCCTTATTCATAAGACCTTGGAGTATCTAAGTTTGATTTGTGGGACCTCATTGTAATTTTTTTTAACTTTTATTTTGTGAATTGTAATAATTAAATAAAAAATTACTACTTATTAAATGTAATCTCTATTATTAAAAAGCAAGTCTCAATCACATCTTTTACTTAATGAATAATAACTTTTATTTTATAAATTGTAATAGTTAAATAAAAAATCACAACTTGACAAGTGTAATTTTTGTTATTGAAAAACAAATCTCTAAAATAACAAACCATAATTACAATTTTTATTTAAGTAATAATAATTTTTATTTAAAAAATTATAAAAATTAAATAAGAAATCATAACCTATTAGTAAAAATAAAATAATTTGTTCAATTCAAAATTTATTAATATATAAGTTTTAAAAAATTTTAGCAAAATTATGGAAATTAGATTATTATTTATAGTATTTCCCAACTTTTTTTAAAAGAATCGTGCTTCTCGTGAGACTCGAGAAATTTCTTTACTATCATGTGTGTTTATATATATAGATATAGAGCACACATATTAGGAAACTACCGGGCGATTGGAAAATCTGAGCTCGTCGGCAGGGACGATGGCTAGTTCCAAGGCAGTTTCGTTACTAAGACGCAGTCTTCACAGCTCGCGCATTCTCACTTGCTACAGAAGCCACTGCTCTGTCCCGGAGAGTTCCGCGATTGACAATGTTGACGATGAAGTGAGCTCTTTCCAGTCTTTAACTTCTCTCGGTTTTCGTTGTGCCAGTGGTTCGTGAAATTCTTACTCTCACGCTCTCTTCTCTAGGTGCTTGTCGAAGGAAAATCAGCTTCTAGAACGGCGATTCTCAATAGACCCTCAGTTCTCAATGCCATCAATAGCATGACGGTGTGTTTCCATAATTTACCTTTCCGCGGTCATCGTTTGGTGTGTGCGCATGTATTTATGATTTATCTGCTAGTATTTGAAATCATCGGGTCTTTGTGTGTTTGTTTTAGGTTGTTGGGTTTAATCTCGGTTTGTAAAACTGTTTATCTTGAAATGTTCCCTTGGACCAAATAAGCCCAAATCAATCATTGTGTCTTCTGACATGATGTAGACGTTTGTGATATGACAACAACAATAACACGCCTTAAGGGCAACTATGTGAATTATTGTTAACTAAAAGCTTTTCACACTCCTCACAGATAACTCCTGCGTCTTCTTTATATATATTTAAATTATTTTCAATAATTTTTTATCTTTTTTTTTTCTGTGACACTCGCTTTTTTTCATATACACTCATTTTAAATTTTATCTTTACATGTATGTCAGCACATTCATCTCAACATTTTTATCTTTATTACTCCAATTTTATGCTCCTACTGTTTCGTAAAAGCCCAACATTAATTACCATATAATTTTGCTAGTCTTATAGCAGTTCAATGAAATTTTTCTTTAAATATATTAGATACAAATAACTCTTTTAGTCTTTTTGTTATTCAGCCACCCAACTTGTATTCTATGTACAATATTTTCATCAATTTCCTCATTATGTTGAGTAATAGTTTTCAAATATCTAAATTTTTTCACTTTAAGTATAATTTGATCTTTCAATTTTCACTTTTAAATTACTACTCACTGACCTCTTGTCAAAATTACAATATAAATATTCCATCTTACTCCTATTTAGGCAAAAACTTTTTGACTCTAATGTCTTCCTCTATAATTCAAGTTTACAGTTAATCTTCTCTCTTATCTCCTCAATAAGGATTATATTATCCATAAAAAGCATGCATTTGAAGATTTCCTCTTGAATATGCTCAGTCAAAATGTCTAGGACCAGATCAAACAAAAAAGGAGTCAAAGAGTATCCCTGATGTAGACATTTTTGATATTTGTATAAAACTGACTTGAATGAACAGGCTAACTCTCGGTACTAAATTTTTGTATCCATGAAGTCATCTAGTTTCCTTCGTTAAATTAAGTTATGTTGAAATGCAGTTTTTTTTTAAATGGTGCTTTGCTGACATTTATATTGTTTTATTGTGTTGGACAAGTTAGTTAATTATTGTACTTGATAGAAGCGGTGAACATGGGAGGGGGGGAATTCACAATATATGGCTTGGAGGTGCTAGAGTTAAAAGGAGATAATGAATGTGAAACTCAGCCATTTTTCAATTGACCTATGACAATTCTTATTTTAACTGTTCTACTAGACGAGAGGAGGGACATCACCTTTCAAAATTTTCCTCTCTCACCTTATTTATATCAAACGCCTAAAGTGGGAAATGGAAGTTTTTCCATTCCTTTAAAGTTTTACACCGTTTCCATTTTCATCCCTCCTACTGTCAAATTAGTCTTTAGCTCTCCTAGCACAGCTTTATTCTACAATTCTATATTGGGTTAAAGCTTACACCTTTTCTGTGTATCAAAATTTTTAATTTAATGATTATGTTATAATTTGACACTTAATAGGGAGTTACATGGTCATAGATATTCTTTTGGTTTTCAGGCAGCTAGACTGCATACACTTTACAAAAAGTGGGAAGACAATCCTGATATTGGTTTTGTGATGGTGAAGGTAATAAAAATATTGTCATTATTTTCTTTCTGTCTAAAATATAATGTATAAAATGATGACAGGTCGTGTCCATTCACATATCTAGCTATGTGCCATTTACACATTATTTTTAAATTTTTAAAGGGCAGGGGCCGGGCATTTTCAGCTGGTGGAGATATTGTTGCTGTTTACCATTTGCTAAATCAAGGTGAAAGAAAGATTTACGTTTTGGATCAGATGATGCGTTGCCTATGCTTAATTTTATATCTTTGATGTCATTCATTGCTTCTAAAATGTATGTTAATCTGTTGTCTATCTCAAGAAAATGGCCTTGAATATCTTGTGAAGTGGGAATAGCATTTAAACCAAGTACTGAATATCAGGATGACATTATGAAATCATATGTTCAAGATCTTTAAAGATCAAAGGATAAGGCACATTAATGTTGAATCGATTGGTTACTCTGTTAAGGACTTGTTTAAAAACAACCATAAATATTGCAAGACCCAAGGTTGTGTGTGTATGGATCCCTTTGTGCATTATAGAAGAATAATTCTGAAAGAGAGAGATAGAAGAGAATAGAGGAAAGAACAGAGAAGAGAGAAAGTTGCAGAGAGATTGAGCTAGAAGAGAAAGACAAAGAAGTTCAATGGATAGAACACTGCATTATTGTAATCTGGATAAGCATATGATTTACATAGGTAACCTCCTATATATAGGCTTTTACTCCTCACCCACCCCTAACGGCTAGTGACAGTAACAGCCCTTAAGTAACTCTAACTAACTACCTAACTACAATTACACAACATCTACTAGGTTATATTCTTAGGAATCCGAGCTCATTGTTATTAGCATCATAGTGGATTATATCTATTTAGAACCTGATTTGAAACTTATTAAGTGTTGGTTATTATAGGGGCCACACCAAACTATAAGTTTTAGAGGCTTTGCATTACTTGGTCAAGAGATCAATTTTTCCCATTCCAATTCTTGTATTAACATAAATTTCACTAGGTATATGTGGGTAGAAAAGATAAGGTGTATTAATTATTGTATTCAAACCGGTGCAAAGAAGGCTATGGGGGTGCCCGAGAGGAGGGCTAAGCAAATGGTCTTTAGCTTTATAAAGAAATATAGAGGGAAGCCAAGAAGAACACTCTAGGAAGTTATGGAATGGGACCTATTGGTAAATGATTTATTTGAGGAGTTGGTTGTTAATAGAATACAATGACATCATGCAATCTGTGTAGCCGACCTCACTTAGTAAGGTAAAACTTGTTATTGTTGCTGTTGTTTTATTTGTGGATAGATCTTTTAAGTATTCAAATACAAACAGTTTTTGTGTGACGGGGAGTGGTAGACATATGAACCACTACTGTGTAGCATATAATATTAAACTTTTGAATTGAATTGATTCTAAACATGTCCATGTTTGACATTTCTAAATTATGTGAGTTACCAATTCTTGGCATCAATTTATGAGAGAAAGTACAAGCAACATGAAGTTGTTAAATTGCTTGTTAATAACCTGTTTTGAATTCTGGAGAAGTTGCAAGTTTGTAAGAAATTTTGTCATGCCAATTTTTCCATAAATTTTCCATAAATGTCATGATGAGGACTTAAAACTTCCAGTGTTAGGCAGGAAAAAGGAAAAGTGAAAATGAGGATAGGGGAAAAAAATGTTGGAGATACTTTCCCTCCTCTAATCCATGCAGTTTGCTTTCAAACAAGTTAAACAGAATGACAAATGGATACAGTTTATTTCATAGGAGCTTCATAAAAGGTAAAAGCAAAATAGTCAAATCTTTCCCTATACTTCATAATTTTGTCTCTGAAGACCCTACGATATTAAGAAGCCTTTTCTCTCTCCTTTACATCCATTCCCCATTGTCTCATCCCACACAGAAGCAAAGCCTTAATTTGGTGTGAATGACTTGTACTGGTTACTGTTGTTTTTCTGTTTCCAATAAATCTTAGGATTACTCAAAAGAATGGAACTATAATTGCTTGCCTTAATTAACATGTGAGGCCCTTTTTTAATGACTTGATCATAACTAGTTCAGATCCTCCGTTGAATTTTCTTGTGCACTCAGTCTAATCTAGGTTGGGCTTCCCTCTTAGTTGACTGACCCTCTTCTGCAACTATATTCATACTCATGATTTCCAATGAGGTCTTACTCTTTCCATCCTTATTCTTCTAATTATAATTCTAAAAAATTATTATTTCTTCCCTATTTAAATGCCTATCTCCACTCTGTACAGTTTCAAAACACAATTTCTCTGAAATAGATTTTTCAGTTGAAGCAAACACTCAATTGCACTTTTGTGTAAATTAATGTGTTATTACCTCATGGCATATCTATCTCGCGTTCATTCATTTTGACATGTTTGATTAGATTTTGTTGTCGTTGATACTAGCTATGAATTGCAGCAGTATACTTCAATGGGTGAAAATAAATGAGGATTTTTATTGGTGCTGCATCTGATAAGGGAGGAAGAGAGCAGAATTTCCAACTCCTAATCTGTTTTTACAATATTTTGGGTCAAGCAATACCAAGGAATTTTCTTAGTTTGTGCTTTTGTGGTTAAATGATATATTTGAAGAATTTTGTTGTTGATAAACATGATGACATTGTACAATCCATGTAACCAACCTCACTTAATAGGACAAGGCTTGTTGTTTTTATGCTTTTGTGGCTGAAGGAAGCTTAAGAAAAATATAGTGTCTACAGTTATTTATGAAAATTGGTTATGCTAGGATGTTCTTTTCTTTTTCTTCAATTTTTACTCTTCTCATCATGTGTTGGTCGTATCAACTTTCTGATTGTTGTTAACTAGATATTTATCTATTGCTTTCAATTTGTGCAGGGAACTTGGAAAGTTGTAAGGAATTTTTTAGAACGATATATAGCTTTATCTACTTTCTCGGTACATATTTGAAGCCACATGTGAGCACATCATTTAAGGCATTAATGATAGCTTATTATATTCTCTTTTTATTAGATATATAACTATGATCTAAACATCTATCGATTTACTTATGACCACCAATTCAGCTAGAACTTGATTTTGGAACTCCTGGCATAATTTAATCCAGGGGATTGGCTTAACAAGATTCAAATCATGGCTAAAGGGTTAAACATGTTGACATATTTAGTTATTATGTTGCTTATAGTTCCTAGATAGGCAATTCTCTTCAAGCGATCCTAAATCATAATCCTTCCAATAATTTTTATTGTTTATTCATTTGAGTGTTGATTCAAAGTCATTGAAATATTGATCCTCTCCTTTAACAAAATTGACAATTAGCTAGTTTCTATTTAATATATGATCCTAAGCTTGAAGAAATCTAGAGTCATATAATAACTGATGAAGTACTTTTAGTAGGCTTGGATTCTCAACTGAAAATAGTGATTTTGTGCTTATTTATAACAACAACAACAACAACAACAACAAGCCTTTATCCCACTAGGTGGGGTAGGCTACATGGATTGCAAGACGCCATTGTGCTCTATTATTTATCAAGCTTTTAGGAATATTATTAATTAAGAGATCGTGTTCAACAACTTTCAAGAGTGTTCTCTTAGGCCTTCCTCTACCTCTCTTAATCGGACTCAAAGTTATATGTTCCACTTTTCTCACTGGTGCCTCCCTTGATCTTCTTTGTACATGCCCAAACCATCTCAACCGATTTTCTACCATTTTTTCCTCAATAGGTGCCACTCACTTTTTCGCATACGTGCTCATTTCGAATTTTATCTTTACGTATATGTCCGCACATCCATCGTAACATTCTCATCTCTGCTACTCCAACTTTATGCTCTTGCTGTCCCGTTAGAGCCCAGCATTCACTACTATATAACATTGCCGGTCTGATAGTAGTGTGATAAAACTTTCCTTTAAGTTTATTAGGCACCTTACGGTCGCAAATAACTCCTTTAGCTTTTCTCCAATTACACCACCCTGCTTGAATTCTATGTGAAATATCTCCACTGCTTATTTATAACATGTAGGAAAATATTGTTGATACTATAAAAGAATATAACAATAATAACAAGTCTTATCCCACTAAGTGAAATCGGCCACATGGATATATTTGTGCTTTATCAACAATCAACTTTTCAAATATATCATTCATCATAAGATTCTATTCGAAACTTTCTTGAATGTCCTTATTATCCCTCTATATCTCCTCATAGGGCTGAAAACAATATGCTCAACCCTTATCACATAATCCTTTTGTGGCTTCTTTGCATATCCTAAAACAATCTTAAATAATTTTTTATCATTTTCTCTTCAATAGATGTCGTGTCTTCTTCTTGTATACAATCATTGTGGATCTTGTACATCCATCTCAGCAACTTTATCTCGATTATCCCAATTTTTTTTCTCTTGTCCTTTCAACTCACTACCATGTATGGAATTATTGGTCTTATAGAGCAATAGATAGAGAAGAGAGGAAAAGTCTTTTCTAGAAAGAAAATGGGATAGGTGCATTTCCCTTTTTTTTTTTTTATCTACAAAACACTTTCTACGTACTAGACATTGCATTAATCTTTAGGAAAGAAAGCTTGCTAAGAGTGCTTTTTTCTAGCTAAAATTCCAAGTTTTAAATTTTGACAGTAGATCACCTCTAAGGATGTTATATTCAGAGTCTTACAACTTAAGCTGCTAGTAGCATCTCGTGCAAAGCAAATACAGGGAGGGTGAAAAGGTAGTGGAGATAGTAATGAACATTAATATATCTGCTGAAAGGCTGAAGAAGGCTTACAAATTAGTGACTATCAAAACAATATTTATGCGTGACCACACTTAGTGCCTTCAATTTCTTTTTAATGAGTAATTATTTCACAAACTCCGATACAGAACCTAATAAAGAAGGAAGAGGAAACTGAAGCTTATAGATCATACAAAATTAGGCATTCCGAAGGAGAAAAGAGTTGTGTACTTCCTGCATTAGGCATTGTTATCAATTAATCATTGCTAAAATTTTCATGCTGATTGCTGAAATGACAATATAAACAACAGCGTTATTTAATATACTATTTTTCTTTTTCTATATTAAAAATATCATTTTGGTTCACTGTGAATTGATCTATACCTATCTTTTTCCTTTTGGCAGTTATCATTGAAGTTTCTTATGCAAGTTGTGGACTGTCTTTTTGAATGATGTCTTATCCTCCTCTCTCGTAACTATTTATTTCAGATAAAACTTCTTTTTAGATGCCAAGACAAATATATGAAATAGAAAGATGCATAATTATACCTTTATAAGTTGTAATTTTCTGGTTTTATCGAAAGTGTTAAAAGAGGTAGCTGTTGGGAATAAAACTTGTTAAGAAAGGAGGGATAGCTAAAGTTAAGTGATTAAGTAATCAGATACCAAGAAAATATATGATTGTTTTTTTTTCTTTTTTGGGATCAATAGTAAATAGTTTTGAGCCCTGTAAAAAGGGAAAGAGAAAAACTAAAGAGAACACTCAAAGAAGTTGTTAAATGAGACCTTTTAGTTAATAATATACCCAAAGGCTTCGTTGTTGATATAGCACAACGGCTTTATGCAATCCATATAGTTGATCCTACTTAGTAGGATGAGGTGGCTGTTTCTTGTTGTTGTTGAAAGAGTTGTTTACTGTGCATCGAAAGCTGACATACTGTTATTATGACCACAAAAGTTCAATTGTGTTATTTACTTAGGGTGTAGCACATTTAATTATTCCCTTAACTTGCAAGACTTTCTAAACTTCTTCAATCCTCTTAATAGTAAACTCTTCTCACCCTACTAGATTTTCCTAATATCTCATACAAAGTTGGCATATAAATTTTATATTTATTATTTTGACTTCCTCCTCTAAACTCCAACAACATATTTTATTCTCACATCAATATTAAAATTTATTCAGACTAATATTATTACATTCATCACATGTTCTGTTTATATGTTGTTTAAACAATATTAAAGAACAAAGGTTCAATTTTTGGTCATATTAGTTCGGTGCCAATGAAACAGCTCTTGTTTTTTTTTTTTTTTCCTTGGCAGGTAGCTCTTCTAAATGGTATTACCATGGGTGGTGGAGCAGGAATTTCAATCCCTGGAACATTTCGGGTTGGAACAGACAAAACTGTATGTAATGGGGCATTGTTTAGAATATTTACATCCTTAAATTAAATGAGTCGCCCATCCTTAAAATTGTTTAGTTGAGAATTCTGTAGTTGTAATCAAACAGTTTCAATTAGTCTGACGTCTATGGAAAACAGAAGAGATCTTGTTATAGAACTTCATCTGTTCTTCAGAGTTAGCATGAAAGCTTGATGCTTTAACCCCTCAAATATTCTTGACTTATTCTTTGGAGCTTGGCAACCTTTTGAAAACTGCATCTCATATATGTGCAAGGGAAATTATGATATAATGTACACAATTACCTCACATTTATCTCGCAGACATTGATCACTATTACATCATTGTACTCAGCAACTCTAGGATGTCTGTTTTTACATATACATACAGTTGAGAATCCTAATCTATTAGTTGTTCCATTTTTATTTGCCAGTGACATGAATATATACAACTGAGTGCATATGCTGAGCTCCAATGTAACTTATCCCACTTTTCAGATTTTTGCTACTCCAGAAACTCTTATAGGATTTCACCCTGATGCTGGAGCTTCCTTTTACCTTTCACATCTACCTGGCCATTTAGGTAAGATGATGGCTATATCATGTATTTTCCACTTCCATGTTTCAAGTTATTGAAGTATATGAACGCGGTACATGATCTGTTTACATGAAGTTAAACCCAAAAGATATTAGAAGTTCTACTTGTGCCCTGCTATTATGTACTTTTTGATAGCAGCTAGTTGTGAGGATGGTGTTTTCTTATATAGTATCAGGCTGCTCTTGTTCAAGGAAATATCATGTTGGCTGAATGATGAAAGGACTTTGTTGAAGTATAATTATGGGGATCAGAATTGGGTGGGAGTTATATTACGTACATGCATGTTACACTGACATTTGCGGTTTGGAACTGCAGCCGTTATGAGAATCAGAATTTAATTGTGAATTATATTATGTGGATGTAGATTGCGGACATTTGCAATTTGAAACTGCAGCTTTTAGAAGTTGATGGTTCTGTTCAAATTTCAAATGACATTTAAGCTGTTGTTAGTGGTCTATGCCAATGACAACCGTTAAGAAAGAGTGACTGGTGCTGGTGTTGGTGTGATCCTTATTATTGTAACTTGTTACTTTAGAATACCTGAACTTGAATTTGATCCTTTTTTGGAAATAGGGCATTGTTTTTTTTTTTTTTTGGTCCAAGTTTTCAGGAAGTAAATTTCAAATTGTAAAAGACGCATGTAGGAAATATGAAAGTTGAATTTGAGATGCCCAATTCCCATCCCAACTGTTAGTTATCCTTGTTTTCAGGTGAGTACTTGGGTTTAACTGGGGAAAAACTCAATGGAGTGGAGATGATTAACTGTGGGCTTGCAACACACTATACATTAAGCGCAGTTCAGTACGCTGCTTGCTTGTTATTTATTTTTCTTTATATTCGCCAGGGTATATGACATTAAAAGCATTGTTTCTTTTGTCCTACAGAGGCTTCCATTACTTGAGGAACAGCTGGGGAAATTGGTTACGGATGATCCTTCTGTCATTGAAACCACTTTAGAAAAGTATGGCGACCTTGTCCGCCCAGATAGTAGAACTGCACTTCAAAGGTTTGTCATGTCTCACTCAACAATGCTATCTGATGACAGCCTTTTTCTCATCGTTGATAAATAATTTATAGAAGGAAAGCCTCCTATATCAGTCGAAGAAAAAGAAGCCAAAAAAAAAAAAAAAAAAAACTTGCACTAGCTTAAAAGCATCCTCCATACCCTCTATATCAGACAACAGAATCCCCAAAGATTATCATTAGCAGAGCCCACAAGAACTTTATATGACATTCTGTTAAAAGCTAATTTGGCTATTATAAATTTTCTTTTGGGTGAGCTCTATTATATATTTAAAGTGCCAAAATCACCTCTCTATTTTAATTTTATTTCCATGTGTACCCATATAAGGTTTTTTTGTACTGTCATCTATACATATATACATACGTTCATGTGTGTGTGTGATGCACGCACGCACACACGCACACACACAACACATGCATTGCACACTTGCACTACATACATATCATGCGTGCCTGCATTTATATATGGATGTATGTATGTATGATTGCAAAAACGTTTATATTTCTGGGCAAAACACAATTTCTCTAATCAAGTGATACATCTGCTTAATTATGATTCAGTATAACTAATACAAAGTAAATTTTATACCAAATAGTTATTAGGCAAAATTAATTATTTAATCCTTATATTTTTAACTTGGTTACAAATCCATTCATGTACTTTAACTCATTCAACTCAGTCCCTTAAGTTTCATGTCCTTTAGGGATTGAGTTGTTACAGTGTCATAAGTGTAGGGACCAATAGATTAAATGACAAAAACTTGAGGGACTGAGTTGCACCTAATTAAACTTCAAGAACTGTCTTGTAATTGAGTCAGTACTACAGAGATTATATGATTTATTTTCCTGAGTTATTATGATAAGGCACTCTCCATTTTTTCAACAAGGTGCAAAAAGCAGTTATTTTAAGCATACAAGTTTAAGTTTTATGCCTTGTCATGTTACATAGCTATAGCAAGTTTAAAAAGTTATTATTTAACATCTCATTTGTGCTTTTGATAGAAAACATAGTAGGATTTTGTACCAACACATATTTTTGCATGGTCTAAGACTTTTTCATATCACTAACTTCTTAAAAAGCCAGAGCAGTATAATATTTGTCATGATAAACTAGGGCATTCAGTTGATATTTTTGTCTTATGCTATATTAGTGGAAAGTAAACCTTATTAATTTATTTATTTACTTCAGGATTGAAATTATAGATAAATGCTTTTGCCATGATACAGTTGAAGAGATCGTTGATGCTTTGGTGAGATTTGCATCTTCCTTTGTATTTGAGAACGTTTTTAAACTGAATATGAGACCTTTCGCAGAAGTATATTAATCTATAAGTACTTCAGATATTGTGTTACTTGCAGACTAGGATTTCAACTATTAAATATTTGCTTCTATCAAGTCATTTACAGATTCTGAATAGTAGAAAGGGAAAAAAAATGTTGGAAATTACCGTTGTTCTAATGGAATTATTTAATTTTTTTTTTTTAACTTCACTTAAGTATTGTTTGTATTTTAGTTATTTTTGGATACCATTTCTTCACGAATGGAATTAGTTTAAATGTTCTATTTTAATTTGGATGGGACTACTCTATTTTGATTAGGATAAGATTTATTTTGAAAATTGTTTAGATAGACTTCATCAGTGAGTTATTTGAGTGTGGATCTTTCTCTTGTCTATGTATATAACACACTGCTTCTATCTAATCTATGAAATCCAAAGGAAAATTAAACCCTGAGCTTCTACAAAAAGTAAATAACGAAAATTAGACCCTAAACTTCTGCAAAATTTCTTTCATTCTTTTGATCTTCCTTACAATAGCTTTTACAGATTTTTAAGCATGACACCACACCACTCTTTGGTATACTTTTGTTATTTTTGTTGATTCTTATTTATCCTTCATTTCTTGTAGACAATTGAGGCAAATCAAGCAAATGATGCCTGGTGCATAGGTACCCTGAATAGACTTAAAGAAGCTTCTCCATTGAGCTTGAAGGTTGCCTTGAGATCTGTGAGTTTGTTTTCCTTACATAAACCCTTTGAACTTTTGTTTTGCCCGCCCCATTATTCTCTGATGAGAAGAAGCCAGCCGCTATTATCGATTATGATGCAATCCATCCATTAACTAGTGTAGATAAGGGAAGGTAGATTTCAGACTCTTGATCAGTGCTTGTCACGTGAGTACCACATGTCATTACAAGGAATATCTAAGCAGATTTCCGGTGACTTTTGTGAGGTATAGAACATTTTATTGTCTTGTAATGACTGCAAACCCAGTTTTTGGAGCTATAAAATGATTTGAATTTCTTGTTAGGGTGTGCGGGCACGCATGGTGGACAAAGACATGGCACCAAAGGTACCTGTTTTTGTATCACTCCCTCTCATTCTTATTATATAAAGACCTATTAACAACATCACATAGGTTAAGGAATTCAATTAAAATTAGTTAGTGCTTTTAAAATATCAGAATTATCCTCAGAAGTTGATTAATTAGAGAAGGTTCTTTAATTAATTAGGAAGCAGTTAGTTAAATAATATTTAGGGAAAAAATTAATACTTGAAACAAGAGGTCTTGTATTAAGAACCATTAGGAATGTTGTTATTATATAAATAAGGACTAGAGAGAGTATATTTTAGAGTGAGAAGTTGGCTTTGTTTCCAATATATTGTTAGAAATTGTCGTGAAAGTAATCCTCGGCCTTCTCCCTCAATTTTTAGGTTCTGTTTGGTTGGTTGAAAGAAATGGAATAGAGTGGAATGGGGTGAAAAAATAAAGATAAAAATAAGATGATCAAAATGGAAAAAGGGATAGGTGAATTATATTCATAAAAGATAAGGATAATTTTGGAGAGTATGATGATTTTCGCATTTAGTGTTATCATGCTTACCATGAAAGAAGAAGGTGATTTAATTCATTTTTTATTTTGTTTTTTAATTTATTCCATTCCAATCATTTCTAGCAACCAAAGGGATCTTAAGTTTGTATCTCCCAAAAAACATTTATAAAGCAATTTCTTTCAAAAGTAAATTTGATCGATCCTTGTTTTCTGGTTTATCTTGGTGGAATTCCGTTATGTGCTTTGACCCTCTGCAAAATATGCAGTGGGACCCTCCTACGTTGGACAAGGTGTCTGATGATATGGTGGATCAGTACTTCTTGCCGGTCAGTGTATCTGAGCCAGGTCTAGACTTGCCTGCACAAATCCGAGAAGCTTTTATCTAAGAAGTGTGTTTCCCTACGTCTCCATTCAAATAATTCTAGAATTGAACTCCGTTGGTCTTTAGTTGTCATTTATTAAGCCGCAAATTTGTAGTCGGTACTGCCTCTGGATAGTAAAATAGCTTTGGCTTTATTACACAAGATGAGCGACAAACAATTCATGACCTTGAACGTAGTCTCATTCCTATATATAACTCATCTTTTACAAAAATTTTATGTACCATTTCCAGCAACGCGTGGTATCAGGGGTTTTAGTTTGATAGATTAGGTAAAACTGTCGGCAAATATTAACAGACAAAATGAGTTATATATATATATATATAGTGTGTGTGTGTGTGTGTGAGTTAAGGAAAGGAGGACCATATAAACTTGCAAGAAGGCCGATCTTTGATTTGTCTTTGGTGTTGGCATTGAAAATCTGGAAAAATATAAAGTGATGTGAATATTTAAAAATTGAGTTGATTATGCTTATACATGTTGAGTTGCTAACATCGCCTCCCTCTCACAGGCAAATGTGGTATGTTAGAAATTTGATTTATAATATATTTGGTTTACAGCTTATAAAAACCATGTCAAGTTAAAGTTGGTCGAGCTTAAATTAGATAAAATTAAGGAATTTATATTTGGCTTAAAGGGTATTTTTGGCACAACCTGAAAATTTAAGTTATAATCGGCCCATAGTAGTCGAACACCATGGGATACCACGTTATCTTTATTCTGACCTATCCTATCTAAATATTTCGTCCACAATGTTTAATACCAAAGTACTTTGTTCAACTATTTATTGATTTGTAAAATAGAATATTACAGGGTGAGTCTACCACTGACTTAGTGAAGTGTAAAATAACAAGGTGCACGAATAGGAAGCAGAAGGCACACGAGTTTTTCACAAACAAATTCTTTAAGAAAATATTAAATATTACTATGATCAAGAATGCACATTCATAATTTGTATGTTCAAGATACTACTTTCTAATAATTTTGTAATGAATCCAATCATCATACAAGGCAAATGTTACTAGACTTTCAATTATAACAAAACTTTTCATCAACACATTCCAATATCTTTGGTAGGAAATAATCGTTCCACCTATATAATATACAACACTTATATAATGTAAAACATGTCATACAACTCATGTTGAATTATCATCTCACCTGCATGATATATAATATACAATGTATCATAAAACTCATGATGGGGAATAACCACGTCACTTATGTGATATATAATATGTCATGTATCATATAACTTATGGTGAGGAATAATCTCCTTACCTAATATATCATGGACACTTATAAATATTTACACAAACCATACAATTACATGAATCACAAGCAAAAATAAATAAATAAAATTAAGTAAAGACCAGTAGTCAAAAAAACTCATATATTGAAAATAAATCAATTTGCTTTTTTAAAATCATAAAATTTGGGATTATAATTGGTTTTAAAAGGAAAGGAGAAATTATAAAGAATTGAAAAGGAATATACAAATGTCTCTTAAATTTAAATTATCAATACCCATAATCATCAACATATAATTTAATTTCAATAAATTATAAATTGTTGTAACAACCAAAAATATTAATCAGACTTAGAACATTGACACAATTTCCCATCATCTAGAAACATTGAACACAGATAAAAATTTGGAGTTTGCTTCTCAAGTGAACAAGGAAAAATGAAAGTAATTAAGGCTAGAAAACATAAGAAAGGTGAAAACAAAATGTCTCACCTTGCTATTCATATACTTACTCGTTGGGATCGTTAGTAGAGATCCTTTTTAGCCACTCTAAAAATTTACACCAGCTGAAGAGTTCTTATGAGTATCACGTATAAATAATATTTTTATGTAGTCCTTATCAATTTCCAACAATAATCAAGATTCCTTTCCTTTCCTTTCTTTAATGAACTGCATCCTCATTTTCCATCTAAGTTCCTAATACAACTGTTAATATCAATCAAGAATTTCTTGTTTAATGTAATACTAATCAAGCATAGGATTTATCTTATAGAGCCAGAAAATTAAAATTTCAAATACAAGAATTGAAATAGATGTTGTAATACTACTTTTCTATTTGAAATTTCGAATATAATGGCTTGATTAAAGTATAATTTCAGGGAAAATAAACGCAAAGGAGTGCTATATATACATACATGTTTATAGATATAAAGCTTAGGAAAAAAAACCGATAACATATATACATATATAAAGAAACCTATTCAGCCTTTTAAAATTTATAAAAAAAGAAAGAAAGAAAGAAATCGAAGAAGTAAATGAATGAAGTCTGTACAGTTTGTGTTTTTTTTTTTTTTTCCTTTTTGGGAACCGATTGAGGATTCAAAGAAGGAAGGAATAAAAAAGAAAAAAGAAAAAAATCAACGTCTCTATTGATTTTCATTCATGTCTCGCTCAAGCGAATAATGAAAGGAGGAAGAAGAAAAATAAGGGAAGAGAGAAAGGGTAGGCTGTAGCTGCGAGATGAAGAATGAAGAAATTAAAGAAAGGAGGAGGTAAGGTACAGACCTGGAGAAAATAAGAGTAGTGGGAGGAATGAATAAGGAAGAATGACCGAGAGATTGTAAAAAAATTAATTAATTTAAATTAAGTTTCACATATTAAATTTTAGAAACTTATAACTTAATCTCTTAATTTGACAATTCTGTTATAATAAATTTATAACTTGTATTTTAAATTTTAACAAAAAAAATATTTTTTATTTTTCAACCATGTTAAAATTTAAAAAATAAATTGTAAATTTATCATAACATAGTTGTAAAATTAAAAGATTAAGTTACAAATTTCAGAAATTTAACACTTGAGATCTAACTTGAATTAATTGATCCTTTTGAGATTTTTTTTTACTATTCTCCTAATGATTAAACTATGAGATGGATGAAGGAAAATATATTAGGTCTAGATTTTTATTTAAAAAATATATATTTTTTGAAAAGAATTAAATTTAATCATTTTAAATGCTTTTGAAATATTAAATCTCTTTCTAAAATAGGTATAGCTCCAAAGGATAATATCCATGTCCTTCAAGATCTTAACTAATTTCTCTCATTATTATAATATTTTTCCATCAATACATTAATTAATTCACTCCTAAATAATTTTTTATATTTATATATATTATTGAAGATATCAGAATTTTTGTAGAATAACAAAGTACATTAATCTTTCTAAAAGTTATTTAAAATTTAAGGGCTTAATCAATATTAATTATCTTATAGAATTTTTTAATGTAATTTTTAAGGTTTTTTTCTATAAATTTCTAAGTTAACTAACCATTAACCTTAACCTTTGTAAATGGTATAAGCGAAATTGCACCCTTTCAAAAGTAAAGGGAGATAATGCATCATAAAAAAATTTTATGATACCAAACATTCCTATGCAAAGAGTTAAGAGATAAGAATAATTTTTAACTTATTTATATTTAAATATATTTTTGGGTTAAATATTAATTTGGACCCTGAACTATAAGTTTAAGAGTGATTTGAACCCTAAACTTTAAAAAGATACATTCTAAACACTAAATAATTAAAGTTGGAGCAATTTGACTTCAATCGTTAACTTTTAACAAACGTGGTCAAATTCATTTGAAAAAAATTCCTTTTTAGTTCCAATTTGACAAATGTTTGTTTAGAATTCAAAATACACTTTTTTAAAATTTTAAGGTTCAAATCACTTCCAAACCTATAGTTCAAAGTCTAAATTACATATTAACCCTTGATAATGTTACAAAGTTTTCAGGATATGAGAAGAAGGAATTAAAAAAAGGTAGATGATGATGATGATGATGATGATGAAACTATATAAAAGAAGATTGTAAATTATAATAATGAGTAAAGTTTTTGGTGGAGATTATGGTGAGTATAAATGAAATGGTGTAAATTGTAATAATGAGTAAAAAAAATTTTGGTAGAGATTATGGTGCGTATGAATGAGGAGGTGTAGAGTTGACTATTTTTTTCTTGTTGGGTGAGGTTGTAATAGGCAATCAATAGTAGTAATAGGAGTGTAACATAATCCTTTGCTATAAGCACACTTTCATTTTTTTTTTCCTATTTTTTTAGCATAATGGAATCTCATAATAATATCGGTGAAAAAAATTATCATTCTTTATTAGGAAAAAATCTAAAATAGATTCCTCTTCATATACTTTTTTCTCTGTCTCTTTCTTTATCATAAAGACATTTGGTTTTGTTTTATAAATTTTCACCTTCGTCGATCAATTCAAATTAAGAAACTTACACACTCCTTTAAAATCTTTTTAAAAATTGATATATTATGCAAAATACACTTTTTTCAATTATTATTGAATTAGTATTGATTAGAGTGCAGTTTTTAAAATACAAAAGGCAAATGTGCAATTTTGACCCTAAATTATAGGTCTAGGGGCAATTTGAATATTAAACTTTTAAAAATGTGCATTTTGAACCCTAAATAATTAAAGTTAGAGTAATTTGACTCCTACCATTAACTTTCAACAAACTTCTATTAAGTTGAGGCTTAAAGTGTAATTTTTTTCAGATGAATTTGATGGATGTTTGTTCAGAGTTAACAACAGAGGTCAAATTGCTTTAACTTTAATTATTTAAAATTTAAAATATACTTTTTTAAAGTCTAGGGTTCCAATCGCCCTTGGATTTATAGTTCAAAGTCCACATTGATATTTAACCTTATATTTTTTATAAAGTCAATTTGTAAACTGAAATTTGTTTGAATAATATAAATTAAAAGAAATTTTAAACATATTAGTACCTTTTTTTTTAACCAGCAAACATATTACCACCTTAAAAAATCTAGAGTTTCATGACATATAATATTTGAAGTGTAAAATTTTGATATGTTTAATAAGAGATAAATCAATAAAGATAGGTTGTATAAAAAGGATATATAAATATTTATATATAAATTAAAATAAAAAAATATTTCAGTAAATATGTAAATAAAAATAAAGAGCATAGGAGAAAATCTTTCCTATTAAAGTGCATAGATTGCCAATTGCCGCTGATGTTTGTGCAACAACTTCAACAGTGATTTGAGGCCATTTAGATTATTTTCTTTCCTTAACTTTGGGCTTTGAATATTCGGCACCATATTTTTTTTGCGTTGAGTTTCTTGTTCTGCTTTCTTTCCTTCTCCCCCCCCCCCCAAAAAAAAAAGAAGCTAAATCATAATATTTAAAAAAAAAATCACAT